ATAGTTTAAATTATATAATTAAATGACTGTTTTTTGAAATCAATAAAATGGTGGTGCAAAATTGTTATACTCTACTACTGACTTTTTCATTCAGGAACTGACATTAAAATTAGTTTATTTAAGCTGAAAAATAATTTTTTTCATAAAGTATTACCAAAAGATTTTTTTTAAAAAAATAAAAACTATTACAAAAAGATTCAAAAGAATTCTGACCTGAGCAACGAAGTTGCTGACGACACGCCCATCATCAATGCACATTCGAGGTCCATAGGTGTTGAAAATTCGAGCAATCCTAACCTGAAGCTCATGCAAAGGAATAGTACGTAATAAGAGTAAAGTTTGGGATTAAGAAAATTAAAATATTAAAAAAATTTAAATAACCTAAATAAATTTATATTAAAGATTTATTAACCTCAATAGAGTAACTAAATAATTAAAAGCTTAAAATTTTAATTTACAGATTTCAAGTTAGTTTATTATTTTATATAGTTTATTATTATTAAATATATTAAAACATATTAAAAATTTATAAAAATTATTTAAGTAATTTTATAAACAACCAGTATCAATACGGGGTAAGATTTACATATATATATTTTAACAATATGTCAAGAGACAGATTCAAACTCACAAAAAAAAAAAAAATGCACCACAATGTGATAGAAGGTCACTTGTACAAGATTTACAATTTTTTTTGAACAATTTGTAATCATTTACAGAATTAGTTGGGGGAAAGAAAAAAAAAATTCGTGAGACTCGAACATATAACCCATTAAAAGTAAATAACCCTGACCCAAAATTCAATGCTACTGAGTTGGATCGGAAAGTTCAAGATTTACATATTTATTTAGGAATGAAATTGTCAAAGTAATATTAATTGACGAGGTTAATTAATCAAGTTGGGACAGCTAACCTCAACACTGGCGCCTCGGTGATAATCCATTGTCAACGTCTCGGCCGTGCGCTTTCCCTCGTCGTAACAGCTCCTGACACCTGTCCATTGTTCGGACATTTTATCCCCAAAAAAATCGCTTTTGTTTGTCAGACGTGCTTAGATCTACTACTTCAACTCACACCAAATTCCACTCTCGCCGAAATTTACATAACGGTGTCCCCCACCGGCCCCCGTTTCCGACCATTAAAAAATATTTACTGATATTTAATTTATTTTTAATAATTTTAATTTTTAAATATAAATTTAATATATAAAAATGTGCGTTAAGTAACTTTAATCACTTTTGTAAAATTTATATCTTCTTTTTAAAAGTAACGGTTTGAGTCGATCCCATAATTAAAATGTTCAAAAATATATATATAAATTTAATATATTGACAATTAAAAACCTTTATTAAATAAACATATAAGAACTTTTATTCAAAAAAATTAATTATATTTATATAAATTATTAAATTTTAATTTAAAATTTAGATTTAAAAAATTAAAAAATCAAACTATAATTACTAAAACTAAAGATAAAATGCTATACTCTACACTAAAATTTAACCAAAAAAAGTGTTATGCACAACCATACAATTTTAATTATTAAATAAATATAAACTTTTAAATATTAAAGACTCCTTCATTTTTTTTTTTTGAACGTAGAGGAATAAGAAATTTTTATAAATGATTGGTGAAAATTAAATTTTTAATTAATTAAATCTAAATACTAAGACTTGAAACCAAATCATTAATTGAAGGCTCGATTCCTTCTCTATTTAACTGTACTGTATTATAGTAAATAATACAGACAGTAAAATTGAGAATTCAAAAATTAAAAATTAAGAGAGAAAAAATGTTCAAAAAACGTGGACAGTCGGATCAAGGGACCGCTAAACAGGAGATTCTAATGAATGATGATATTCACCCGACTGCACATTATCCCAAATAAGAGAGAACGTAGGGGATTCCAATCCCGTCACACCAACTACGGGATCGATGTTAAGGACTCTTCCACACGACAGTCACGAGTCAAAGCACGTGGCGTTTCGGGCAAAAGAAACGCCACCGGACGAAACGGCGGAGGAACCCATTGCCCGGAACGGCGGCCACCAGAAAAACGTTTTTATAAGAAAAAAATGGAAAGGAAAGATGTATACTGACCGATGGGATTAACGTTTCCCCAGTACGTTTCGACCTGCGGATGTTGCAGAGGATCTCCGTACACCTCACTGGTGCTGGTCAGCAAGAACCTGGCGCCGACCCTCTTCGCCAGACCCAGCATGTTCAGTGTCCCCACCACATTGGTCTTGTAAAAACCCAGAATTAAGGGAACAAAAATGGAAACCACGGAATTAATCGGGAAAATGGAGAAGAAATCAGAAAATGGAATTGGGAATTAGGAAAAGGATATGATAGTCTTGACGGGGTTGAATTTGTAATGCACCGGAGATGCGGGGCATGCAAGGTGGTAGATCTGGTCAACCTCGAGGAGGAGAGGCTCGACGACGTCGTGGCGGATGAGCTCGAAGTTGGGGTTCCCGAAGTGGTGCATCAAGTTTTCCTTCCTGCCCGTGAAGAAATTATCCACCACGATCACGCTGTCCCCTCTAGCAATCAGACGGTCGACGAGGTGTGACCCGACGAATCCGGCACCACCGGTGACCACGATCCTTAGCCCTTTCCGCTTCAGCCCCAGCGGCACCTTCCCGGTCGGGTTGGCAGACCCGAACCCGATTCTATGCGGGACGGATATCTTGTTCTGCGTCTCGCGGAAGTACGAGTAGGAATGGGTGAGCGGGATCGAGTAGTCCGCCTGGCGAGGGGCGTGAGATGAAGGAAACACAGTGAAAATCAGGGTGGCAATTGCAATGCCGAAAACCACAAAGATGAGGCGCTGCTCGCGGAGCATGTATCGAATTGGCTGGGTCACGGAAAACCACGGCTTCACCGGCTTCGGCGAGTAGGAATCTGAAGCTTGTTGCGCTTCGTGCCCTCTAAATATCAGCTCCGACCCCATCTCCAAGCTCTGGCTTTCACTACCTTGTAAATCAAACAGCGGACAACTGTATCTGAAACGTCAACTCGCCGGGAACAAGATCACCGGCGATGGCGTAAGGAAAGTGATGTGGTGGTGAGCTGGGGTGCGGGGGTTTTGGTATTTAAGCAGAGTACAGAGACCAAACAGGGCCTGGACTGAGAGGAAGAATTACAGAAAGGCCATTGGGTTGGCTGCTTTTGAAAAAGTAAGCGGTTACGGAAATCATTAGAATCTACTAATTTTTTTTGTTATTTAGGCTTCTCTTTTTTCTTTTTTGTTTTTGAAAATAGGTAATGGATTGTTATTTAGTGGATTGAGGAGTTAGGTTATGTGGTTTTTACTTTTTATGAACATTACCTTAACAGGACCGGTAGAGTTAAATTTAGTGAGGCGGGTAATTTTGTTGACGGAAGTTTGTGAGTAAGTGTTAAACTTTTTTTATTTTTTGAAAATAGGTAATGGAGAGTAAGTGTTAAACTCGTCAACATCTATCTCTTGTAATTTAAATTTAAAAAATTATTTTTGTTGAAAAAGTTATTATTATGATACTTAAATGGGAAATCAGTACGTATTAATTTTGATTTTAAAAAAATTAAGATCTTAATTTATATTTAGAAATTAAAATTTTTTAATTTAAAATTTAAATATTTATTTTATTAAATGTTAATATCTAAAATTAAAAGGTGATTATATATTTTAATATAATTAGTTTTTAAATCTATATATCAATATTTAATATGATAAATTTTTATATTTTAAATTAAATTTTAATTAAATAAAACAAAATAATTTAAAATAAGACTCTAATTTATTTTGAGAGTTAATATTGATTTACACTTTTTTTTTCCTTAGATGATTGACATTTGTTTAAAGTTTTAATTCATTTAAAATCAATTTACTCACATTACAACTAAAATATTTATAAAAAATTACTTCTCATTAACTTAAAATCAAACACAGATAGTTGTGGGCGAGCAATTTGACTTTTTTTTTGTGATTATTAAAATGTTTTTGCTTTTCAAATCCACTATTAATATTTTTTAAATAACTTTAAAGACGCATTTATTTTTTTAAAAAAATAATAATTCTCTCAAATGTTAGTATGAAACTATTAATATTTTTTAAGTAATTTTAAAAACGCATTCACTTATTTTAAAAAAGTTATTTCTCTCAAATGTTAGTCGTAAAGGGTTAAACCTTAGGATTTGTGTTTGACTAAACTTTAAAGATTGTATTGTTGTAATTGTTATTTGTGCGGTAATTGAGTCAAAATTTTAAGTAAATGGGCTTGCTTGCTCCAAATCTTGATGTCCAGGACATCTGGTTAGATTATCTTATTCTCAATTACTCGTTTTCAAAACTTCAAATCAATGTGGTTGACAACTAATATGATTAACTAATTGTTTGATTAAATACCATTATTGTTTTTACTACCATCTTCTCCTTCAGCTTGCATAGATTGATGGCAAACAGCTGCTTTTTGGTCCCAATGGTGAATACAATTAATAGAAACAGACCATATGAGCGATCTTGATTAATGAAACAATAACCTAACCAATTAACAAAGTACTATACATAGCCTATTAGGCAACGGAATTTGTTCTCTATATTATTGTTCAGTGTTTATTTTTTAAAAAAGTTTAATAAAGATATAATTTATTATAAATTCTTTAATTTCAATGCAAAAAACTTACATTTAATTAAATAAAAAAAACTTAATTTTGTGTGTCAAGTTGGCCATTCATAACATCTAACCATTGTTTTAAAAAGAAAAAAAAAAAAAAAAAAGGGGGGGGGGGGTATCATCAATTGCTTTTGGTGGAATTTGAGGGAATTTTAGTTAGGAAAATAATTTATGAACAATTTTTTTACATTATTTTTTTGTATAATTTTATACGTCATTAAAATTATTGATTTATTTATTTAGGTTTTTTTTTTTGAACATTTTATTATGGGATCGGTTCGAACCATTGCCCTTGGAGGGGAGGGATAAATCTTACAAGGGTGGTCAAAGTCACTTGACCCATAGGATCAAATTCGATTTTTTTATTTAGTTAAGACTTGTAATATTAAATAAATTTATTTATTTAATAATAAATAAAAATTATATAAAAAATAATACAAAAAATTATCCTTATATTATTATCTATTTAATTATACGTGGGAATGGGGACGAAAGAAGAATCCTATCTTTATCCTTCAATTATACCTTAAGCAATAATTATGATGGATTTTTTTTTTTGAACAATTTGAAATTATTTACAAACTAATTAAGGAAAAAAAAAAAAAATTTCGTAGGATTTAAACGTGCAACTCACGGAGGTAAACAACCTTAATTCAATGTTTACCTTAATTCAAAATCCAATACCACTAGATGAGCTATCGTTTCAATAATTTTGATGGATTCTTTTCACCAAACAGAGTATGAGTAATATTTATATACTTTATTTGATGAGACGTATTATTAAAAGATTTAACTGTAGTTGAGCTCATTCTCAAAAACTTCAAAATCTTACAATCCAATCCATCAATCAATTTCCCAAGAGATAGTGATTTTTTTGGAGAAAACATTTCCCAGCATGTATGATGCTTGCATTAACAGCCTTCCCTAGTTCCAGGCTTTCCCAACAAGACCTGCCCCTTGGTGGGGAAAAGGCAGAAATCATTGGACGGATCAGGTTACTGGGTTCCAACGGAAACGTTACCGGGCACGTTCGTAATTTCGGCCGAACATTGGGTGTCTTATTTTGGCGGCATAAACCGTCCTTAGAAAAGTCTATCGACACGCCCAATTATACCCCAAACTAATTTGGTGGAAAATAATTGGAGTGATTTTGACGCTCATTTTCCAGCTGACCAAACACGTCCCCATTCAAAACATCATTTGCTTATGGGAAAAACAAGCTATAAGCACGTTCTGATATCAAAACATCGGAATATTTCTAATCGTATGGGACACGATATAAATTTTAATTTTATTAAATTTATTACGTAATTATTACTGAATATCTTAATATATTAACATTTTAATTGTCTCTTTTTCATTTATTTATTTGTTTCTCATTTTATTCCTTAAATTGGTATTTTGAAAGTACTAGGATTTTCAAGTCGCTTTGCGTACCCCATACAAATAGTAGTTGCCTTTGATGAATAAGATAGTCAAATAGCCTTTTTCTTTTTGCTTTGGCCCGAATTCACAACACCAACAATGCTTGACTAATTTTAGAAAAATCAAACTATATCTAACATTGTGTTTTGATTTGTTTTAGGTTAAAATAGCTTAGGTCACAAGAGATCTGGGCACGCTTTGATTTGTACGTTTACAAGGAATGTTCCACTTGAATAGTTTGAGATCTTCCTCTCCATAAACTTGACATATATATATATATTTTAGAATATTAATTTAGTAGATTGTGTCATTGACTATATAACATATATAATGTTGTTATTAGTAATTTAATATAAAATAAAAATATCTCTAAGAGGGTATTTCAATGGTAATTAAGAATTCAATACAAGTTCTTATCCTGGAATTAAGTAGTAAAAAATTAAGAAAGGAGAGTGTTATCTCTTATTATATATTTCATTTATAACTTAATTTCATTTATAACTTTAATTGTCCTTATTTGATTTTTTAACTTTTTGAATATGAATTTTAAATGAAATTTAACAACATAAATGAATGACAATAGAAAATTTTTTTTATATATGTAATTCTTGTTAAGTAATTTTATTTTATAAAAAAGTCATTTATATATTATATTAAATTTTTATTTAAAAATCATATACAAAAAGTTAAAGAGCCAAAATTAAAACAACTAAAGTTAAAAGGTGAATAATAATAGTTAGTCATCAATAATTGAATTGTCAATTTTTGTCATGGGAAATGATTTTGAGACAACCTTTTTGTACAACTTGACATGTCATTTATATAATTGGTTCTTTTTATTTATGTGAATCCCGTGATATTGAATGCATCTACTTATTTAATGACATGTGAAAGTTATATTAAAAAATGATATAAAAAATTGTTTTTATAACACCGTCCTTTTTGTCATCATACAAAATTTTAGGAAGGTACAAAATATGGAAAGAAGGTAATCTCTAGAATGGGCAAAACTTGATGGTGTTACCAAAGGAG